TTTCATTTTCCATTTTTTTTTCAAATTATAATTATTAGTTTGTTTGCTTGAAGAAAAAAGTTTCTATTATTTAAAATAATTAAAATAAGTCAAATTTAAAAAAATGAATTTTCATAGTGTATAAAGGTAAAGTAATGTTAAAGGCAATGCAGATGTTTTGAAAAATAACATCAATTTTATCTTATAATTATGCCGAAATCTATATATTTTTCATCATATTGTTGATGCTTTTAGCAGGTGTTTCGTATTTTTTGCGAAAAAAAAATTGAGCGAATTTCTTTTATTATTTTTTAAATAGCAAGAAAAGAAAAGAGTTATATTATTTAAAAGCTACATGAAATATTTGTTGTCATCATAAATTTTTTCTATAAATTAATATATATTAAGTTTAATTAATGAGGGAGAAAGAAAGGGAGAAAGGAAAAGATAATTATTGATAAATTGAAGCGCTATTAAAACTTTTTTTTTTTCTACAGATGGCTGCTCAACTCGTTCACGATACGATCAGAAGAAATTAATATCAAATCGATTTGTTGAACTTAATAATTGTACGGAAGCGTATTTGGGTTACTGCCGAAACGGTGGGATTTGTAAGATGACAACAGACATTTCACAACGAGCTGTACCAGTTTGCTCGTGAGTAATTTAAATTTTGAATTCTTTTTTTACAGAAATAAATTTAGCAAATAGATGTGGAAGAATTTCAGGAATAACAATAAAAAAAAAAGAAAGTTTCTGGGATTCAAAAAAAAAAAACGAAAAGAAAAGTGATTAAAATTCGTGAGAATTTCAGATTTCATAGTTTTCTAATCAAATTCTTTTCTCGTTTTTTTTTTCCTCTATAAACAAATTTGCTTTTTTTTTTTTGTTTTTGTTAGCTGTCCAACAGGATTTCGTGGCCGACAATGTGAACTAATCAACGATCCTAATATTTACTTTTCGCGGCAACAAGGTCAAATGGAAATGGCCGCTATGTCGGGTGCTATGGTTGCAATTATATTTGTAATTTTGTTTCTATCATTTGTGTTATACTTTTATAGGAGGTAAAATTTTCTTTTTACAACATTTATAAATAATAGTTTATTATTGGAGATTTTGAAATGAAATAACAAATTTAAAGTTTCAAAGATTAAATTTTGATGGTTTATTTCTAGTTAAAATAATTCTTTAAGGTTTGTAAATTTTATATTCTGTAAGCTCTTCAAAAA